CCACCTCCGCCTTGCGCCATTCTCCCTCCCTCTGTGCCAGGGCTTCCGGCTGCTCCTGGCTAGCCCCAGTGTCTGCCTCAGACTGTTCCAAGAGAAGAGAGAGGATGGGCACGGGGAGGCGGCCCAGTTTGACGGTGAGTGGCAATGACCTGGTGGCCCTGTGGTGACGTTGCCCTCTCGTTGGCAGCCCTGGGCACTGCTGATGCCTTTCTTGACTGTGCCCTGTTTATTGGCTGGCATCCCACTAAAATAGAAGCCCCAGGAGGGCTGGGCGTTTCTTTCCTGCATCCACTGCTGTAATCTTAGTAGCCCTTACATGATAGATGTTCAAAAAATATTTGTGAACGGGGCATGGACCAATGATTCCACCATCCCTGGGAGGCATCAGACCTGGTCTCTGAGTTACATCAACGTCACCACCAGGAGGCAGAATTGCTCAAAGATTGTTTTAAGTGTAGGGAGCAGAGCACGGAGAACCTGAATAGCAGAGCATGGACGGGGCATTTGTTGAGCACCTTCCGTGTGCCCGCTTGAGGCTCCTCATACTAAGTATCCTGCTTAATCCTCATGATAACCGTAGGATATAGTACAGATCACAGGTCCAGGTCATGACCTGGGCTCTGTCCCCGTGCTCACTCTGTCCCCGTGCTCACTCTGTCCCCGTGCTCACTCTGTCCCCGTGCTCACTCTGCTCCAGCCCCACGGCCTCCTTGCTAGTCCTCTGATGCCTCCAGCACACTCCTGCCTCAGGGCCTTTGCACTGGCTGTTTCCACTCCCTTGCCCATTCTCCTCCCAAATAGCCACATCTTTTTAACCCCCTCATTTCCCTCAGGGCTTTGTTTAAATGTCAACTTCTCGCCACGGCTTTCTTTACCTAACATGCTAGAATGTTCACTTATTGATTACGTTTGCTAATTGTCTGTTCCTTCCTGCTGGAATGTATTAGATTGTCTGTTTTGTTCACTGCCGAAGTCAGAGGCCAAGACAGGAACACGAGACAGCAGCCTGGGTGTTAAATTTTAGTTTGGGGCTCACGGAGGAGACCTGGATTCTTACTATACTGCTAACTCGCTGTGTGGTCCCAGGCAGTAGCCTCTGAACCTCAGGGCCCCATCTGTTCACCAAGGGCTTTGTTCCCGGTTTTCAATACAATGGCCAATGGCATGGGGGCACGGCTGCAGTGGAGACTCCACACCTTCCTACCTGGGGTCCTTGCTGTGAACCTGGGAGCTCCCAGAACATTCCTTTGACCCCAAGCACTGGGCCTCAGATCTGGTATGCATGAAGTCTCAATAAATATTTATTGAAGTGTTAAATGAATGAACACATGAGTGCATTAGCTTCGCTTTTCTGAGCCCCAACTTCCTCATCTGAAAAATGGGGTAACAATCCTTTCGACTCCATGAAAGTGTTGTAAAAATTAAATGAGGAAACCTGGGCGAAGCTTTTTTGTCCACTGATATTACGTTTGTGGCTCATGGGTCATCAATAACTTTGAGTTCCAACCTGCTTCAAAGCAGGTCTGCTACGGGGGGCCAGCTAAACCATACTGGACGTGAACACTTTATCCCTGGGAAAGCTGGTTAGACAGCAAGGATGGGGATTCTTAATAAGCCCATTTTACAGATGAGGAAACTGAAGTATAGCATGTAAAATTTGTTCATTTAATCGTGTAACTTTTTTGTCCACTGATAAATCCTCAGTGCCTTCGGCAGTGCTTGGCACATAGTAGGCATGCAACAAATAGTTTTAAATGAATTAATTGAGCACTTAACTATGTGCCAGGCACTGTGGTAAGCCCTGGTTAGGTTATTATGACCCCAATGATCATGTGACTAGTAAGTGACAGAGCCCGGACTCGAACCCAAGTCCATCATATTCCAAAGTCTGTGCTCCTTCCTCTCAGGTCCTTCTCCATCGCAGAGTGACTGTCTAGAGGCCCCAGGACCTTCTGCCTTGGTATCCTGACCAGCCACTCACTCACACCACTCACTCACCTGCAGCCTGTGGTGACCTCTGGGCCCTTCAAGCTATTGCCAGGACAGCAGCTGCTTTGACCTCCTGCCGGGAGAGGTCAGCAGTCCATCTCCTCCTCTGCACCAGATTGCACAGCTCC